GTTTGGGGGGGGGGGGAAAAGCCTGACAACAAAAAAACAATTGAAAAATTTGAGCCCCCCGGGGTCTTTCCATACAAGTAGGACCCCCAGCCACTCTGCCCCCCTTCCCCCTTTAGCACCCTTCTCCATCTCCTCAGCAGGTAGGCAAGGGGCAAGGACTATGCTAGAGTTGCCCAAAAAATCACAAGGAGGTGCCTGGGGAGCTCCCAGGAGCTCCGCTCAGCGGAGACCTTATTTTCTATCGCCTTCCTCATCAGACGCATCTCCACCTCCACAAGGCCTCCAACGCCCTCTTATGAAAATTTTCTACCATGAAACACCCCCCCCCCTTATGATGCTCCTGCTGAAGCTACCTTCACCGAGAACAAACCTTCTAGCCTCTGAGTTTAAAATTTAAAGCTGGGAAAGAACTGTGTTCACCTTTTTAAAGGTTTTTGTAAGCTGTCCTTTAAGGCACTGTCCTAAATAAATAAATCTCCAGAGCCTTGTATCCTGAATAGTGGCTTAGATTTCCAGAAAAGGAAACTCTGCCCTGATCAAAATGGTTCCCTCCCATATCGACAGCACAGATTTAGAGCGGCTTCCCCTAGCCTGGGAAGTCTGAAATGGAAGCCTGAACACAACTGAAGAACACGCAGGGTAGAGAAGCCTAGTTTAGAGATGCAGCTTTCAGACGCTCCGAGAAAAATGTGCAAAGTCAGCTTTCTGCCTGAGTGAAAACACCACCCTCTGTGCAATGCAGGGCGTGCTCTGCCTCCTAGATAAGGCCCAAAGAGCAAAATCGGTTCTGCTTTAGACAGACTGGAGTCTTGAGCACAAGAATGAGAGAAACAAGGCATCAGAAAAAGGGAAATGGGAGCTTATCTGCCCTCAAATGAACCATTTCTTGACCAAATCTCCCTCTGATGTGGACAGCCTTCTGAGGGTACCCCTCCCTCCTTAAACTAAGGCTGAATTTCCACATTGCTCGAAGGAATATTAGGACACATCAGACCCAAGATGCTGAAGCTACGCACGACCCACGCGAGACTCAAAAGAAGAAAAGTGTTTTGTTTGTTCCGCTTGTTAAAGAAGGAACATGCAGTTTCCAAGAAAGGGAGGAGAAATCAGAATTACTTTTACTGGAGAAGCAAAGAGCATCCAGAGGACTTCAGGGCAGGAGCAACGCAGAAAAGCTGACAAAAGGGCGTGGAGCATATTCTGGTGGGTTTGTGACCATGCGGTACAGAATCGAAATGCTTCCATGCAAAAGGTTCCAGAAAAGGCCCTTGTCCTCTTAAGTCGCATTAAAGGGCAGAAGGATGGTTCTAGGGGCATTCAAGGCTACCAACAGGCTTCTGACATTTTGACCCCACAATTTTGCAACATCCATTTGCAAAAGTTCAGGTGACACGTTGGAGAAAAAAAGGACTGTAGTCAGTGCTATGCTTAAGCTACTGTTTCAAAGACCAGAATTGCTGCAACAAGAAGAATCAACGTCTATTTTTAAAAGGCAGTGCCTAAAATAGCTTACTGGAAAACTGAAGATTTGGGCTGCCCTCAAGGGGAGCAGCCATTGGGAAGGAGGCTGAAACAGCGGGATATCTGCCAGAAAGGAAAGGTGGTAGGAAGGGTTGATCCCATAATCTTCAGAAGCTATCCCAAACAGCTTTTCTAACAAGTTCAAGTATTTTGGAAGCTAGACTCCCTTGGAAGAGAAACCACCTGGAATTAGAGGCCACAGCAGAAAATAGCAGCCTATACCCACAGCACAGAAAAATCAATAAAAATATTTGCACAGAAAAGGTATCCCAGCCGGTCCAATTTGCACGGCATGGTCAGAACTTTATTATTTTACGCAAGTATGAAACATGTAAGAGTCAGAATACCAGTTGCAACTAGAAAAGTTCCTAAATGCCTTTCCGGTTAATGAGTTATTCTTTTAAAATCTTGTCTCCAGTTTGGTTGCTGACTTAGGAAAACCCAGGCTGACATTTGCTTTCTTATCAGGTCTCTAGCTGAGGATCAAGAAGCAGGGGAAAGAAAAAAGCAGACATATATAATTCATACATTCTAACTAATATTTGGATTTATCTCAGCTATACGTTTCGAAGCCCTGAATTGGCTGGAAAATGTATCTGCTTGAACAAGTCACTGGCGTTGCTCATCCTTGACTCTTCCTGCTTTCAGCTTGGGGTCAAAGAAATGCAATCGTCCGACCCACTTTTAACGCTCTAAGGGAGCCAGCAGATATTTTTAAGAAAGCAGAGATGCGCATTTCCATCCTGAACTGCAGACAGACAGACAGACACCGTCAAGCAGAGCGCCAGTGGGGTGGGTGAGGGGTTGGCGGATGCCAGCTTTCCCCGCCGCTTGTGACTCAGGACCAGCTCCTTCGTGGCACGCCAGCCCCCCTTCCCGCTTCATGGCCAGTCTTGCCAGAGGAAGCCCACGGAGGGGGACTCGATGGGTGCCCGCTGCTGCTTTGCGACCGCTGGGTCGGCTCCTTGCAGCCCGGCCGGGAACCGGAAGGTGGGCAAGGAGAGGCGGCAGGAGGCCCCCCCAGAACGGGGTGCTCCCCAAGACCCCGCAGTGCCCATCCTGGGGCCGCCCACGCCGCCCCGGCAACCGCTGCACTGCCCTGCTTCTTCCCCAAAAGGATCAAGCCCCCTTCGAATGGCAGGACGGGGGGCAGTCTCG